AGGAGGAAACACCAGAAAGAGGAAACAAAACACAACAGAAGAAAAAAAATAGCAAATAGTGTGCTTCGATCCGCATTCAAACTCCATAGTTCTTCCTTTGGATGTGGACAGCATTTTCCATCATGAGGCCTTTGGAGATGTCTTAGATCCTTGTATTACTGAGAAATCTACCAATATTAGCCATAGCACAACGTGGCTGTTACTGTGTACAAAGTCCTCTTGGTTCTGCTCACTTCACTCAACATCAGACCATATAAGTCTTTCCAGGTTTTTCTGAAGTCAGCCTCTTCATCATTTCTTATAGCACAATAATATTCTATTACATTCATACACCACAACTTGTTCAGCCATTCCCCAATTGATGGGCATCCTCTCTAACTGATGACTTTTGAGAAAGGAATTTTTAGTGGAATAGTGAGGGAAGAAAGGTTGTAAGGGGTTTGGATGCAAATTAACTCAACAGGGTATGACCAGCCCCAGGCAGCTCTCATCTCACTAACCCCCAGTGAGGGAGTCCACTTTGGCCTGGAATCTTCTGTCATTAATTCCCAGTAGCACAGGCTAGCAATCGGTGACCTTGTTTTAGGCTTGGTTCTGCCACCAACTAACAGCTTTAGGTATTTAAAACATTATAGAACTGGAAGGGACCTTTAAGATCATTTCATTCCCCCTCTTTCACCTCACAGATGAGGAAATTGAAGGCCCAGAAGAGTAAGGCATGAAAGGGCACACCTTATTGTCTCTAAAATAATTACCGTTTTATATATTCTCTTTATAGTTTGCAAACAAATGGTACAAGGCCTAGTTTTAAATTTGTATTTTTTAAACAAAGCTTAATTTTATTTGTTGTTTTAATTTCTCTAGGTTGTATGATGAATTTTTAAAAGTATGATGAATTTTTAAATGGAGTCCAATAGCATTCAAAAAAATGTTAGCCTTAAAAAATAGACCCCTTGGTTGCATGTCCCAGTGAAATGGGCTACTCATACACAGCTAGTTTGTATAGAGTTACTGAGTTGAAGGCCAGAGATCTTTTACTGTATACTTCTTCCTTATCTGTAAAATGAGGAGCTTATTCTAAATGCTTTCTAACATGCCTTCTAGTTCTAATATTGCCTGTTTCTTCTTCTGTCTGTCATGGATGTACATCTTCTCACATTCATGGCATCCATAGTGGTGAAACACTAATAATAGCTAATAGCTAAAATTTATATAGTGCTTACTATATGCCAGGCATTGTGCTAAATACTTTACAATCATTATTACATTTGATCCTCAGAGTCAATACTGCAAGGTAAGTACTATCCCTGTTTTACAGATGAGGAAAATGAGGCAAATAGACATGAAGTAACTTGCTTACAGTCACAGAGATAGTAAGTGTCTGAGGCCTAATTTGAATTCAGGTCTTCCTGACTCCAGGCCCAGCTCTCTATCCACTGCATCACCTAGCTAGCCGTAGAGATCAAGGATTGACTGTAACTTGTTATCGAGAAGGTTTAGCTAGCCTCAGCCTAAGGACAGAGCTAATGACAATTAGCTCAGAGTCAGAGGCAGAGAAAAATGTTATGTCAGTCCAACCAAAATGTTAATGGATGATATTGACTCTGATAACTGCCTGCTTGACCTTCTGTTCTCAGGACAAACCTGAGTCTTTCAGAGGTTTCTTCTTTACAGCCCTCAGTCATCATGGGACAAATACTACCTGCAAGTCTCATGGCTAGAGTTTCTTGATTTCTTCTCAACAGCTAAACAAATCTATCCCCTATTCCTGCACATATGGCTTGTACATTCCCACCTGTTTTTGCTCATGCCTTCCTCCAGGCTGGAGTGTTCTTTCCTTTTGCCTGTTGGATTTCTCTTCATTCTTTACTTTTTTTTTGGTTTTTTGTTTTTTAAGATAAATTCATTTATTTTTAGTTTTCAACATTTACTTCCACAAGATTTTGAGTTCCAAATTTTCACCCCATCTCGCCCCCTCCTCCCACCCCAAGATGGCATGCATTCTGAATACCCCTTCCCCTAGTCTGCCCTCTCTTTTATCTCCCCCGCCCCTTCTCTTATCCCCTTCCCCTTCTATTTTCCTGTAGGGCAGGATAGACTTCTGTACCCCATTTCCTGTATTTCTTATTGCCCAGTTGCATGTGAAAACATTTTTTTAAGCATATGTTTTTAAAACTTCTCTTCATTCTTTAAAACTCAGCCTGAGTCTCATCTTCTCCCACAATGCTGTCTCAGGTAAGAGTGATCTCTCTCCCTCCTTCCTCTGAACTTCAGCAGCTCTCATTTGTCTGTCACACTTATCTGTGCTGTATCACAAAGCACAGTGACTTTCACAAATGTGCTTAATAAATGCCTTTTTCATTCATTTGTTAGCTGTCTTCATATGTATATCTTTTGTCTCCCTAACTAGGTTGCCTGATCCTAGAAGAAAGGACCCATATCTTGGACTTTTTTGGACACCTCCTGGAGCTTGAACACAGTGTTCACTCTTGGATTTAGTGCTTAATCAATGCCTCTCCCTTCCCCCCCATAAGTATTTATTGTTATGTGAATTTATTTTATTAGAATTTATTGTTTATTGAATTAATGCTACTATTAATGATGGCAAGTTAAAAGGTAGAAACCGAGGTATATGGCTATCGTAGTGTTTTTACCTACCATGGAGAGCATATTTTGATAATTACTCCCAAGATGCCACTTTTTTTTTCTGGCTACCTATTTCATTGCTAAATTCCTATGCTGTAATGTTGACACTTGATTGAACTGAGGTATAAATATGAAACAATATTAACAGTTTCGCTACATTTATTGCTTTTGCCAATGCTTTTATCAGGTATTCAATTTCATTCTCATACAACCTTGAGGCAGGGATTCCCATTTTACAGACTGGGAAAACCAAGGATTAGAGAATAGATTTTTTAGAAATTCATGTGCTTTTAGAGCTGAGACACACTTTTAAGATTATCTTACCCAATTTCCTCATTTTATAGATGAGAAAACTGAGTTTATCCAAAGCCAAAAGTGCAATTTAGTCTGCGTGTGTGTGTTCGTGTGTGCGGAAACCAGGAGTAGAAACCCAGCTGTCCTGACCCCTAGTTCAGGACTTTTCCCCCACTAAACCACAGCTGGGGCAGTGTTGACGTTTGGAAAGGGCTGGGAGTAGAGAGAAATAACCCGGAGCAACAGTAGCCTAACTAACAAGGATGTGTTAAGTCATCCACCATGAGACCTCAGGAACCCCTGGAGCTGGTTAGCTGGCTATGTGGATTCTGCTCTCCTCTAGGCTTCGTGGCTCTGCACCCTCTTCAGGTTTCCTAGATAACTTTCCCCCCCTCACCCCAAGGATTTCCTGCTATTAAAAACATACAAACAAAGGCACTTGACGTGTTTGCGTGTGGGAGTTGATGGGGGGGGGAGTCAGGGGGAAGCCAAGGAGACTGGGATGCTATCTCAAGACTATGTATGAGCCTTGAATTCTGTGCTCCAGACCCCCTTCTATCAATTTCCTGTCCCTTTTAGTGTTCCTGTCTTTTCTGTTCTCTGTCCATTTCTCATTCAGTATAACTCTGAAAACCTTAATTCCCAGGGGTTTCCCTCCCCAGTTCTGGGTACACACTACTTTGGAACTCAAAACTCATGAGCATTGAATTTAGAGTAAAGGGACTGGATTCTAAACCCAGCTACACTTGGTTGTTCGACCCTGGGCAAGTCACTTTCTCTTTCTGGGACCTGCAGTTTCCCACTCTGTAAAACCAGGGGGCTTGGACGATTTCCAGGATCCCTTCAAGGTCTCATCCACTCAGTTTAGACAGGTAAAAAGTTTAAGCATATCTTCTGTCTTCAGACTGCTCCATCCTAAGCCCCATTCTAATCCCCACCTCTGAGGCTCTCCGGAGATTTAAAATCAGGCCTCGAAAAGCAGATCGCTGTGCAATCCCTCCCTCACACCTTTCTCTGCCCCCCACCCAACAAAACAAAAAAGTTCGAAATGTTGGTTATAAGTATTTTACGGAGAATGAGAGAGAAACAGATTGAACACAACCAGGTTGCTTTAACTGGAGTAACGAGGGTACTGTACGTGTGTCTGCTTTGGGGGACAGGAGAACAAGGCAGTCACTGTGTGTGGAAATGCGCACCCCCGCTCCCTAGTTTAGAAGGACATTAAAGTTTTCTTGAACTGCAAGGTCGCAACTTAAAAACAAACAAACAAAATAAACCAATTTTCTCAAGTTGGTTCTACCTGGGAAAGAAAAGGGGCTATGGCATTAACCCCCCCTTCTTTTTCATTCCTCTCGCCCCAGCCTTTAGCATGAGTTTCTCGGGGGCTCCTGGGTGTCATCAGGTGGCCTAAGAGCGAGGAAGAGGGGGTGGTTTGCAGGCTATAACTTTCTCGAGAGAGAGCCGCCCAGCAGCACCAACGCCCACGTGGGGGTGTGTTTGGCTTGGGACCGAGGGCTGGTCTCTTTCCTCTGGGAGCAGAGGGCGGAGAGGGCGCCACCGCTGAGGCCAGCATAGCGTGCAGGGTGGGGGGGGGCACGAAGGAAGGACGACGGGGCGGCGCGTTTGGGGGCGGCGGGGAGGGAGCCCCGGCGGGCGAGGGGGCGGTGACAGCCTCTTGGAAAGGAGGCTGCACGCCGATTTGCATGAGAGACAGACTGGGATCGGGGCGGGATCCTGAGCACACACACCGAGGCCTGGAGGGAAGAAGGGGAAGGGGAGGGGAGGGGGCTAAAGAAATCAGGGAGCAGAGAGGAGGGGAGGCCGCGAAGGCGGAGGGATCTGCGCATCAAAGCGAGCAAGTAGAACAAACTTTGATTCGTGGGCTGGACTTTTCTTCCCAGAGGCGGCACCCAAACAGCAACACCGTGCGGAAACAAACTTTTTTCTTCTCTCGCTGCTGCTTGCTGTTGCTGCTGCTGCTTTCGTGGCCCTTCCACACCCTCACCGTCCGGACTCTCGTCTCCCTTCGTCCCTCCTTCCCTCTTCCCCCTGAGTGCACTGGGAGGAGGAGGGCGGCGGAGCTCAGGCCACCCGCGGGCCCCAAGGTTTGAGGCGCCGAGGTCCGCTAGGAAAGTTCGCCGGGAGTCCAGCAGGGAGTTGGAGCGAAGTTTGGCCGGCCGCGGCCGGGCGCCCCGTCTTCTCTCTGTGCCTGCCTGCCTCCCCCTTCGGGGGGAGCCCCACTCTGCCCACCTCCACCATGTCTTCCATCCTGCCCTTCACCCCCCCGATCGTGAAGCGCCTACTGGGCTGGAAGAAAGGCGAGCAGAACGGGCAGGAGGAGAAGTGGTGCGAGAAGGCGGTCAAAAGCCTGGTCAAGAAGCTGAAGAAGACCGGGCAGCTGGATGAGCTGGAGAAGGCGATCACCACGCAGAACATCAACACGAAATGCATCACCATCCCCAGGTGAGATCCGGGGTGTCCGCGCCAGAGCCAGAGCAGGGCACGGGCACCGGCACTGGCACGGGCGGCGGCTGCTTCTCACTCCCGGGCCTGGCCCCTCTATGTGTGTTTGAAACGGAAAAGTGGGAGCGATCGAGGGTTCGGCCCCGAGTGAGAGAGTGTGTGTGTGTGTGTGTGTGTGTGTGTGTGTGTGTGTGTGTGTGTGTGTGTGTCTGGGCTGGGGGGGCGGGGGCAAGGTACCTAAACAAAACCTTCTCTGCAAAGATGGGAACTCTAAGGTTTCCACACGGCCCAAACCAGCCCGGGAGGAAGGAATTGGGGGACTAGTGGCGGGCGAGAGGAACGGGGGTCCTGGCTTGCTGTTGGAGCGTGGGGCTCTCTCTCCCGGGCGGTGGAGGGGCGGGGGTGGGTGCATGCGGGTTGGAAGTTTGTTTGGGGCTCCGGCTTTGTTTAGCCTGGCTCAGTGGAGCGCCCCTCCTCCCCAGCAGCGCAGCGCGATCTCGATCTCTGCTCCCCGCACTAGTATAGGTGGTTTCTGTCTGTCTGTCTGTCTGTCTGTCTGTCTCTTCCTCCCCTCCTTTTTCTTTCCCTTCCCTCTTTTCTTCCTCCCCTCCTGCTACCCCCGCCCCCCTCCAAGGAATGCAGTCCGCACAGCTAAGGGAGGGCCTGCCGGGGCTAGGGTTGTGGGTGAGAAGCCTGGACCCGTGTGATTGACAGATTCCTTCTCTCTCGCTCTCTCTTTGCATTTGAGATTAGTATTTTTTTTTCAGGAGTATTTTTAGATTCAGTTCTGCCACTTTCTTCCCTCCCCACTCCCCACACCCCCTCTGCTCCTGCACATGTACAGCTCAGATTAATGTATTGACTTTCTGGAAGAAGAAAGCAGTTAGTATTGAACTTGTTTCTTTTTCTCCCCAAAGTCTCAGAACCGACAGTGAAGACCCTGGGGGACCGGCAGTAGCCGGTCCTCGGGTGGGTGGTGTCTATGCTTCTCTTCTGAGCAGGATTCAGGTTGATGCAGACCTTTTTAGCACCCTGTGGAAGTGGAGTAGTTCTGTGATAAAGATGCCTACAAAAGTAGGCCTCAGCTAATCAATCTCATGCATTCCTATAGTGTCTTTATTTCTAAAGCACCTTCCCATCTGTTTATCCTCTGTTATGCTCACAGCATCCCTGTGAGGGGAAGATGGGGAGGGGTTTCACAGATGGCTTATAGAAAGGGTCAGTGACTTGCTCTGACTCCCTAGAGGCTTGGCTAAACTCAGTGTTTTTTGGTAGATTGGAGGGGGAGGGGAGGGAGAGGTGGAGGAAGAGTTAAAAGAGGAGGGATCCATTTACCCACTGCCCCTCCTTTTCATCCCCTTTCTAGGGTCGGTTCTTTTCTGAAGGAACTCTGGGGATTTGCTCTTGACTGGGTCTGTCCAGGGCTCTGATTTAATCCAGGTTACCTGGCTTCCTTGGACTTGGCCAGCAGAGGACTCCAGTGTCCACATCAGCTCAGGGCCACTCTCAGCCCCAGGAATGCATCTTCTCACACCACCACCTGCCTCGGAGCAGCTGTGAAGGAGACTCACAATGCCTGGGTATTTATCCCAGGCTGTCTTAACACTGGGGTCAATCTTCACAGTGCTGCATCTGTTCATGGGAAGAAGCCCTCATTTGGAAATACTGATGAAGTTCATGCTTTGATTTTTCTTTTTAGGCAAATATAATCAATAAAAGAAAAAGGAGGATATAATGTCTTTAGAGCTTAGTTTTATACTACAGGTCTAGGAGCCAGCAATGATTGAAACAACAGGTAGGCATGGTCTGATAGCAGACAAGACCCGAGTTTCATTCCCAGATTCTGTTACCTCCAGGACCCCTGGGTAATTACTTCTCAAGGAAGACTGATAGTACTCACCCACTTAACCTAATCAGGAAGTGTATAAGCTTCAGCTATAAGTGTAGAGGTAGGAGGAGATGTTTACAAAATACTCTGTTTCTTAATTGAAGTATTAGGGATTCCTAGAAAGTAACAATTTATGTAGCTTGTTGCTATTTAACTTTTGAACTCTGCAGCCACCCTGTCCCACTGATTTTCCTTTCCACTGTGAGAAGTTACTACCTGTCTTGCTCTCGTAGGCTCAGGAAAACCTCATCTTACAGTTGACTGTCTAAACAAGATTGTTATTGGGACATCAAGTGTCCTCTAAGGCAGTGGGGTTCTTAATCTAGAGTCTGTGACCTTTTTCAGGGGTTACCTGTATTTCAGCACAGTTCATTTTCTTTATAATCCTATGTATTTTGTATCATGCATTTAAAAACATTATCCTGTGAAGTGATCCGTAGGCTTCAAACCAGCCAAGTAGTCTACAATGCAGAAAAGCTCCAGAACCTCCGGTCTAGTGAGAGGGAGTTGATGTGGCTAGGATGGTTTTGAAATTCCAAGAGCTCAGTCATTGTCTCTCCCCTAATCACAAGAGGACCCCTGGGAAAATCCTGTCCTGAATTTGCGTTGTTGATTGGAATGCAAAGTTCTCATAGGGTAGCAGAGTTGTGTTTTCCCATCTCTCCTCAGGCACAGCTCTTTAGAGTTAAGATTGCTGTGCACTTCAGAAAAATGGGATTTTCATGCCAGCGTCTTGTGCCTGAACCTCTGGGTTCCTTCGTTTCATAAGATAGCACTACTGTGTTGGTTGTGGGCAGAAAATTAAAAATGGAGGTAATTGGCTACAGATTTAATGATAGCAGCATGTCTGCCATAGCCCTGCATTGACCTGAATCTGCAAGCGACTTGTCAAATTGTCTGCCCTCACTACTGAGGTATGGAGACTTAAATGGAAGGAAATAGCACCTAATCCCTTGATTGGGTGTGGGGCATTGTTAGGGAATCATAGAATACTGGCATTGGAAAGGGTTTTAGGGATCATCCACACAAATTTCGTTTTATAGACTAGGACCTTGAGACCTAGCAGGGGGAGGTAACTTTCCCTAGGTGACATGGCTAGTTAGTGGGAGAGTTGGAGTTAGAGCACAGTTCTCCTGACTCCCGGTCCGGGATTGCTTACACTTTTAAGGAAGTCTATTTCAGCACTTGGCAGCACTTATACAAGACATGGGCATTTTCCTCAGAAAGCTTACAGTCTATGGACATATGTACAGAGCTGAAGAAACAACCAGATTGTATACAACTAGGACCTGGTATTCATATGGGGTGAACTTTAAAGATTTGTAAACCACCTTATATCTTGTGAAGATAATAATACTAATAATAATAACTAGCATTTATGTCACACTTTTAAGATTTGTAGAATGATTTGTATACATTATCTCATTTTATGTTCACAGCAACCATGGGAGGTAGGTGCTTTTATCATCTCCATTTTACAGAAGAGAAATATGAGGCAGGGAGAGGTCAAGTGACACTCTCAGAGTTACACAGCCAATAAGTGTTTGAGGCAGGATTTAAACTCAGGTCATCCTGACTTCAGGTCCTGCACTCATCTATTTCCCAGCACCCAGCCTATAGTCCCTATTTTATACATGAGGAAGCTGAGGCTCAGACCATAACAAGCTTGCTTAACATTACAAAAATAGTAAATGTTGGAGACTTTGAACCTATTTCTCTCCTGACTTCAGGAGTACTGTTCTTTATACATTTTCCAGTTTCGTAGTAATAGCTAATAATTTTTATAGCTAATACTAGAGACTTTAAGGGCAGCTAGGTGGCAAAGTGGATAGGGTACCAGGCCTGGAATCAGGAAGGCTCATTTTCCTGAGTTCAAATCAGGCCTCGGACATTTACTAGCTGTGTAATCCTGGGTGAGTCATTTAACCCTGTTTGCCTTAGTTTCCTCATCTGTCATATGAGCTGGAGAAGAAAATGGTAAACCAGCCAGTATCTTTGCCAAGAAAACCCCCAAAGGGGACACCAAGAGTCCAACACAACTGACCAACGACTGTACTTTAAAGGCTTGTAAAACTAGTTTTCATATCCTAGAGGTCTCGGCTTGCATTCCTACATTCTTGAAATGGGCATTATGGTACTCTGATCTTTTTTAGTACCTAGATAATTTGAAGAAAAATTTTTTTCTGTGTATACTATTCATTCTTTGTTTTCTGTGTGAGGTAATATTAGCTATAGCTTAATGATAAGGTGGATGCAAATACTCTTTTTGCAGGAGGATCTGGACCTGTGATTTCACTGTTGTAGGAAACTCCCCTAGCAATCATTCAATCAGCAAGGATTTATTAAGGGCCTACTATGTGCTAGATGCTGGGAATACAAATACTGGTAATTAGAAACAATTCTTGCTTGTAATGAACTATATTCTAAGGGAAGTAGACAACAAGTATATGTAAAAGTATGTACAGCAGTTATAGAAAGCTAATAAATGCAAATATTCACCCTGTCATTAAAAAAACAAGAGAGGGCACTAGCCATATAGGAGATGAAGGAAAGCTTCTTGCGAAAGACAGTGCCTGGGATGCATCTTAAGGAAAAGATGAGCTATGTGAGGTGAAGGAAGGAATACTTTGTGAGGAAATGCCCTTCTCCAAAGCAGATCAGCAACTATTCCTGAAATTTATGTTAGAAAAATTGCATAGGGGCGGGCCTAGAGAGGCCATGACTTTGCCCAGGGTAACTTGCCAGCATGTGTTGGGGGCAAGACAGCCCTCAGGTGTTTCTAAGTCTGAGGTCGCTTTCTATCCATTGAGACCATATCCTACCTCCTGCTCTGAAGTGTGACTGGAGCAAAGAGAAGTAGAGAGAAGACAGCTGCCTTTGAAAGGAGAGAACCTGGCATCTTTATCAGTAACATTTCTGACTTGATGAAGTGAGTTCTTTGCAAAAGTTCATGAGTTACTGCTCAGGTGTACGGTATCGGGTCGTGGTTGTTTGGAATTCCAAAGGATGGGCTCTTTTTGATTATAGTACTATCTCCTTTGATAGAAGGAATGAATCTAACAGTGCATTGCCAGTAAGCACCTGTAATGTGTGCCTTTGGTTAAGACTCCCA